CTGTTATAGTTAGATATGAATAAAAACAATTAAACAAACTATTATATTTGAATACTTCAACCAAAAATAGTTTGGTTTATGAGTTTCTGCCCGTTTTTATTTTATTTTTGTCATTTGTGTCTATTATGAAATTGCTCTTAAATTTAATTTCACTTGGCCTTAAAAAGTCTTAAAGTTAACTTGCTTTAAACTGTAGGAACCCTGTTTAAAGTTCTTATAAAATACGTAGTTGTTGAAATTTTACATTTTGTCACACAGCTTGCACAGTTTAGGTTTTTTGAGGGCCACATGAGCATTATTGTTATTAGGCCTGAAGCAATAATCAATAATTTATGTAGTTGCGTGATAAATTAAAGATTTTTACACAACACAAATTTTGTTATATCAGTAAATTTCATTATATTAGTTTTAAATTGTTTCCAAACAGTATTATCTTTTATTGCAATCATTTCTGAGACGGCAACATTTATTGTGAAAGGTATTTTTTGTAATTAACTTAGATGTTTCGTATTTAACTTAACGACTAAAACGTCACGTTCCTGAGCACCGCTAACTGAGCTCTACCTGGTATTTTCCGCACAGAAACAGCATTTTAACACGTCTTATAAACACTGAACAGTACTACATATACGACTGACTAAATATGAAATAAATAAAGAGAAATACTATTAAAAGTAAGACTTTTACTCACTGGTGAGTTGTGGTGAGTAACTGCCATCTTAAATTGTGAACTCTCCCACAGGGAATTCCGACTAAAGGAGCGTTCCAGTTTAAATTTACGACCTCTAAGTGGGAAATTCCCACTTTTGTTGTATGTATAGCGTTTGTTTTGTTTTTAAATGAAATGAGTATTTTTTTAATTACAAAAATAAAATTATCAGTAAAACTGGGTTGTAGCGAAATGCAACAGAGATTTTACGCGATAAATTTAGCCTAGAACCCTGCGCATGTCCACCTAGTAATGGAATTCTTTCATTTTACATGTAAAAATAATCAAGATGCATTATGGGAGATGTAGTTTACAATCAATTCTGGCTTTAAAGCAGGTTATTTTAAGACATTAATACACCTTTGAAGCTCTCGTGGGCCACATATAATGCAGTGGTGGGCCACATTTGGCCTGCGGACCTTGACTTTGACACATTCTGGAGCGATGTCATCAGGAAATCCAGCTGTTTATTAAAAATGTGGAACATATACAGGACATGGCAGTCAAGATAAGTAAAAAAAAATGCGAGACCATTCTGTTACATAGGTTAGGGATGAATATATTTAGAAATTTGTTTTGATTATTGTTTTTAATTGCGAGTCATGCCTCGGAATAAAAACATAATTACAGAAACACTGAGTCTGAAGGGGGCGTGTTCTGACAGAACTTTTATCGATGCAGATTTAGAGCTTCAGCTGGAACCGGTGCCTCTGTGGCCGTTCCGCTCGTTCTCTTCTCGTTTGTTTTTTTCTGTAAATCTGAAATGCAGAGACGATGTTCAGGTCGGATCAGCGGGTGGCTCGGGGATTAGGGGTGTAAGAAAATATCGATACATTGAAATATCGCGATATTTCATTTCCCGATAC